ACCATGGTATAATATTTACTTTATACCAGTGTTCTAAAAATCGGCCGAGGCGGTCCAAAACCTTTACGATTTTAGTGTAAAGGTTTGAAAAATTGGTTTTTTGCCTGTGAGGCGGTTTTAGGCGGTCTGAGGCGGTCAAACCTTTAAGGCGGGTCAAACTTCGTGGCAAAAATCGGTTAAAAATCGGTTTTTTTTTTTTTTTTTTTTTCTTATAATTCAAAATAAAAGTTAGATTTTAATAAAATAAAATATGAGTTGTTTATGTTAATTATTATTGTTAAAGAACTGAATAAATGTTAATTCAAAAATTTTGCTTTTTTATTTATATTTTATAAGGATATTTATGTATTATGATCTTATAATTATTAAACTTTTATTATGTTATTAGGATATATACATGATGGAGATATAACTATGTTTAAATATTTTTTTATATATGTTTGGAGTATTTATAAATAATATTTACAAATATATTATATTAAATTTTAAAAACCGATTTATTTCCGATTTATCACCGATTAATCACCGCCACACCGATTAATCGTAAGTCGGTGCCTGACCGACTCAGACCCGATTACCGCCTTTTACAACCTTGCTTTATACCAACACAAATCTAATTAATATATATTTATTACTGATATAGAAAAAGAAAAGGCTGGTAAGCTCCTGAGCTCTTGTCACAGTGTACAGTCTCTGATTTATTGCAAATTGGTTAAACGAATTCAATTTTAGGGATGTTTTTTAATTCGTTTCATAGGTATATTATGATTCATATAATTGTTTTGTGAATTATTATAAAAATATAGTAAATACACCACAAGTAATATTCTCATGTCCAATTTGCGAGCTATTGCACAAGTCGAGGGTTTGTTTTTTCCAATATACATATTGTTGTCTTGTAACTCCAATCCACATGTACAAGCCATGTAGATATTGTCCACATAAAATTGTTTTATACCATTATTGCTATAAAAGTTCTCGTTCGTGAAACGGGCTCTATAGTGCATTGAATTAATTGTACAATGAATAATATACACGTAAAAAAATTAAAAAAAAATTGTATTTATTGAAAATAATAATAAAAATAATTTCATATATTAATAAGTTATTAACTTATGTATAAATTAATAATTATTAATTATGGAGAGGAAATTGGTCTACCACGTAAGAAGTGTTCATGCAAATCCTAATTGGGCCTAAAAAACCAACCAAAATCTATTTCAGCCCATGGTGTTGTACAATTCCAATTTCAGGAGCGTTGGGCCGATAATTACGATCCGGCCCTAAACAAATATTTTACTAATCGTATTGTCATAAATCAACCAATACAAACAGAATCTTTAAGAAGCGTGTGGATAGAAAACTCAACATTTCTAACCAAACACGTTTTATCAATCAAATTTGAAAACGAATTAATATACCCCACAACAAAGACATATTTTGCTTTTATAAGCAAACATTAGTGACAGTGAAATTACAATTGAGCCATTAGCGAGGCTCTTCATAATTTAATTCATAATTAAAATCTAATAACATTTTTTTGATAATTATGGACTGAAAAATGAACAATAGAAATTAATGTAATTTAATTCAATTTATCGATTTTATCAACAAAAGAAATAAAAAATATATATATATATATATAATCAATCAATCAACCGAAGAACATAAATCAATTTTTACAAGAGTAACAATAACTATTAATGGAATATATATAGAGTGAAAATCAAATTAAATTAGCAGAATCCGGCAAGCCTTGCCGGAAATCATCATCTTCCCGACCAACAACCGAACCCCGTTTCGACCGCTTAACCGGAACGGCGGCGCGGCAGACCGGGCAGCTCGAATGAGAGTGCAGCCACATATCGATGCACGCGGCGTGGAACGCGTGCTTACACGCGCCCAGCAGGCGTATCTCTTCCCCTTGTGCGAACGCCGACAAGCACACGGGGCACTGGTCATCGCAACTGCTTCCGCCGCGGACTAATTCCAGTCTATCGGCCTTACAGGTCAGATCCGCCGTCGGTGCGGCGGCGGAGCTCCTCCACCAGAAGCAGGGGTTTCGAGGGCATTTTATTGCCACGAAGAGTGTGTAGGATATTATCGGTATCGTGATGACCGCCACTAGGCAAAGGACGGCGTTCAGAGGTGACATATCGGAGTTATTGTCGTGCGGCGGAGCGGTTGAATTGCTGGCGGTGAAATTGGTCGTCATTTTTTAGATTATGCTGGCCGGAAGTATATTGGTATCTATTTTTCTAGAGGCTGCTAAAAAAAAGCTTTGAGAATTAGAACAAATACTCTAATAATATTAATTAATTAACAGTGACATTTTTAATTTGCTAAACCCAGTGGATTATCTCTATAATAATTGACTACAATAATTGATTTTATTCTAGTAGAACTAGCTTAGGTACCTAAAAATGTAATTATGATATTAATTACTATATAATTATATTTGTAAAATGAAAAATGTTTTTTAGCTGATATATCTTTATTAGAATATTAAAAATATAGAATTCAATAATTTTAATACTTTATAAAGCAAATAGGGTGTGGTCAAGGACAAAGCCCAAAGGTGACAGAAAGCTGATTTTGATATAATAAAGTAAAATAAAATAAATATATTTAATTTAGGAGTGGGTATTTTAGGTATGGCGTAATTGATGCAAGTACACCCCCTGAAATGCATGGCCGATGTCACGTTGATGAGCCCACCAAAATTGATAATTGTGTAATTATCAAATAATACTTGGATTGGAATATACACTATTTAAAAAATAATAATAATATAAATTAGGAAAAAAAAAATAAACAAGTGGTTTCCAATTTTGCTTTTGTCGCTGTCACTGAGGACAATTTCTGTGGTGTTGGAATTTTGAACATTTTTTTTCTTTATATAACAATATATTATTTGTGTTGTAATTAATTATGGGTGAGAGTTGAGAGAGAAAACAAACTCCTTTTGATTGTGGTTTGATGGCGAATGTTATGCACGCACGTAATAATTCTTTCTTCTTTTACACATAAGTGAGAAGTGATAACCATTAAATTACTCAAATTCATTAGTGATGTGCTAAAAAATTAGGGATTATTAGCAAGACCCCCCTCATCTAGTAAATGTAGTTAAGAAACCCCCCCCTCCCAAAAATAATTTGAGAAAACCCCCTTGGTTAGTATTCCACCAAATATTATTTTTATAATTCCAAATCTACCCTTAATTGTCAATATACTATTTTGAAACCCTAATTTCTCTTTCTCAAATTCACTTGCCTTTCACCACCGCCGCTGCCGCTCCCCTGCCGTCCACCGCCTTTCACCACCGCCCTGCCTCTCCTCTATCTCGATGCCCACAAAGATGCGAAGAAAGGAAGTCAAGCTCGCAGCAGATCTGGATCTTCCAGACTAGCCTTTCACCACCGCCGCTGCCGCTCCCCCGCCGTCCACCGCCTTTCACCACCGTCCTGCCTCTCCCCCGTCTCGATGCCCACAAAGATGCGAAGAAAGGAAGTCAAGCTCGCAGCAGATCTGGATCTTCCAGACTAGCCTTTCACCACCGCCGCTGCCGCTCCCCCGCCGGCGGATCCGGTGGCCTGGTACATGGTGGCGGCGAGGGCGGTGCCGGTTCAAATTTCTCTGTTCATGAGTGATGGTAATGATGTTTGTGGCGGCGGTTTTGAGTGGAGGATTGCGATGGGTCTGGTGGTGGCGGCGGTTTTGGGTGGAGGATTGCGATGCCGATGGGTCTGCTGGCGGCGGCGGTTTTGGGTGGAAGATTCCGATGGGTTTGTTGAATTCACGTAGAAAAAGAAATTCGCGCAGGCAGGGCCTTAATCGACTACGTGTGTTTAATCGACTATGTTCAATAGTCGATTAAGGCTTAATCGACTATGTTTAGTAGTCGATTAAGGTTGACCGACTCCAGTTGTTAATTTATTATTTTTTTTTTTTTTGATTTTTTGTTTTATTGATTCCAATGTATAAATCAATTACAATGTTTGTATATTTTTTTTAAATATAGTTGATTTTGCATTTTTTTGGTAATTATGATTTGTTATTTTTAATAGCTAAAATTTTAATCGACTATGCATTAATAAACTTGATAGAGAAAAAAATTAAAAAAACCAAAAAAAATTAAAAAAAAATTAGAAACAAAAAAAAAATAAAAAAATTAAAGATTTTCCTTAATCGACTATGAAGCATAGTCGAATTAAGACTATTCGACTATGCTTCATAGTCGATTAAAAAAACGGAAAAAAAAAAAAAATTGCTGGAGCGCGTGCCCAGCTGTGATGAGGTGGCGGGCGGGGGTAAAGCTGGGAAACACAATGGCTGAATTGGGTCATGGACTTTTCTCAAATGGTCTAAAATATTTTGGGCCTCCCTCAATTAAAAAAAGTAGTGAGGGGGTTTTCTCAAAGAGCCCCAAAAAATTAATTCAATAATATAATGTAATAAAAGATGAATGGTTTGATACTATTATAGTGATTCTATTTTTTTTTAATTAATTTCTTATTTAGAATTTGAAACTCATGACTTACCCATGTTGAACCAAATTAATTAATGTTCATAGTTATGGGCTTTCTGATTAGTGATCCAGTGGAATAGCCCATTATTATTGGACCTTGAAACAGCCCAAAATTACCACTCGGCCCCAAATTTCAACACGGCCCATTCAAGTTAAATAATCCATAAGAAAATTAACCATTAAAAAAATAAAAATTTAATTACCTTTTATTTTGTTGAGCTTTAAAGAAAACTAAAGGAGATGTTGATCTTTGAGTTAACAAGAAAATGACTAAAAGCCACAAAATAGTAATACCACACCACTAAGAGACGTGGGCTACTTGAACAGCTCGTCTTATCATATATTTTGATAACTTATAACATTATTTAATATATTAAATGTCTATTATTTTCATTAATCGAAATTATCAAGTTGTCGAAATCACATCTGAAAATAAATATAATTAATATTTAAAATATCAAATAATTAAAAAAAAAAAAAAAAAAAAGCAGATGAGAAAGAAGATTCAACGCACCCACATACATCATCAAAATCAACATGTAAATAAAATTTACTCAAAAAAAAAAAAAACATGTAAATAAAATCCAAACGGCACCGTCGCGCAGGCAGCACCATTATCCGGTGCCGACTTTTACCCCTCTCTCTCTCTCACACACACACACACACATCTATAAATTACAATCCCATTCCCATATCAACATTTTTATTCCTTCCAATTTCATGAGACTCCTTTTTTTTATATTTGTGCAAAAAAAAAAAAAAGATTCCTTTTTTTGTTGGATAGATTAGATAATTGAGAGAAAGTAGAAGAAGAAGAAGATGAGGAGCGTTGATTGTTCAGAGTGCCCAGGTTTAATTGGATTTTATGTAGTGGAAGCTTATCCAAAAAGGTATTCTTCAAAGATCCCCTCCGATTTGGTCCTTTTCTTCGGCCTTGGCTTCATTGATTGGTAGTCGTGCTTATCTATCTATATACATAATTACATATAAAATTATTTGATTTTCAATTAAATAGAAATTGTCTGGGTTTTTTTTTTTTTCATTTTTACCAAATCAAATCAAGTATAGATTTCGTGATTTTTTTGATGGGTTTGATTCAATTTCTCTCACCTGTCTTAATTTAGGGTTCAGATCGCATTTCTAGTTGTTTATTTTCTCTCTTGCTTTTTCTTCGTATTTATTGTTCCTCTTTTTTTTTTTTTAGTCTGTTTAATTGATTGGGGAAAAATTGGGGGAATTTCATATTCTTGTCTTTGGGATTTAGGGTAAGAAATAGTCTAGAAATGAATAAATTTAGGGTTTTAATGGAGGTGGGAGTTTGCAGCTGGGATTAACATGGTGGAGGAGGTGTTGCTAAATTATAAATATTGGGTTTTCATCAAAGTGGTCATTGGTTTTAAATTAGTTATCTAGAATCTCCCTCTCGGAAAAAAAAAAAAAAGGGTATATAATTTCGAAATGGGAGATACACTTCTAACTTCTTTATCAATGGAGAATCACCACCCTTCGACAATCTTATCCATGGATTCAAGTGCCTCGTCCTCTCACGAAGAATTAGATCTCGAAATGAACCGCCATCAACTCATTTTAACCCGCCCGCCCGATATCAATTTACCCCTTTCAGCCGAACGAAGCCCGCCACCACTACTCCCGTGGAACCCCGATCCTTGTGACATTCTTGATGTAGGGCTAAGCACTCAAATATACGAAACCGAGAGTTTTCTCGCTCTTCCCAAAGCTGGTAAAAAATGCTCCAAAAGGGTTGACAGCATATGGGGAGCTTGGTTCTTCTTCAGCTTCTACTTCAAGCCAGTACTCAACGAGAAATCGAAGGCTAAGATAATCCGCGATAGTAACGGAGTTTCGGGTATCGAAAAATCCGACCTCCAGCTCGACACGTTCATGGTTCAACATGATATGGAGAATATGTACATGTGGGTTTTCAAGGAAAAACCCGAAAATGCCCTCGGCAAAATGCAGCTCAGGAGTTATATGAACGGGCATTCTCGTCAAGGAGAGCGTCTTTTCCCTTTCAGCGCTGAGAAAGGCTTCGTTCGATCCCACAGGATGCAGAGGAAACAATACCGAGGTCTTTCTAACCCTCAATGTGTGCACGGAATTGAGGTTGTGTCTTCCCCTAATCTTATTGGTCTAGACGAAGAAGATAGAAAAAGATGGGCGGAACTCACCGGAAGGGAACTCAACTTCACTATCCCACCCGAGGCTAGTGATTATGGCTCGTGGAGAAATCTGCCCAACACCGAGTTCGAACTCGAAAGAGAAAGACCACCTCCTCCATTGAAGGTCAACCCAAATTCTCATTCGAAGAAGTTGCTTAATGGATCTGTGCTGAATCTTTCGACGCAGCTCAACAATCATAATAGCAATGGGGATGTTGTGATCGATTTATCTCCTGTCGGGGGCAGCAAACGTAAGAAAGATTGTTTTCTACAGGGGAGTGATGATGGTTGCTATTTAGCCCCTGATTTGGACGCTCACCCAAACGGGCCCCACTGGTTGAACGAATTCAGCGGAGTGCTGAGAGATGTTTACGGCCCAGTTACAGGTGCAAAGACAATCTACGAGGATGAACAAGGTTATCTGATTGTAATGAGCTTGCCGTTTGTGGATCTTCAGAGGGTGAAAGTTTCTTGGAGGAATACACTCACTCATGGTGTAATTAAAGTGTCTTGTGTAAGTACATCAAGAACACCGTTTATCAAGAGACAGAACAGGACTTTTAAGCTTACGGATACTTTGTCGGAGCACTGTCCAGAGGGAGAATTTGTCAGAGAAATCTCACTCTCGACTCGAATACCTGAAGATGGGAATATAGAAGCGTACTACGATGGATCGGGCACTGTGCTAGAGATATTGGTGCCGAAATTACGGGAGGGGCCGGAAGAGCATGAAGTTCGTGTCTGTCTTCGTGCGCACAATGGAGGCAATGATGATAATAATCTCACGTTGACTTAAAAAGTCAACTTGGTGGGAAAAGAAGGCGGGTTTGTTGGTCGTTTAACATTTGTGTCTTAATGGTTTTGTAAGGTTGTGTTTACAAGCAACCTCCAGTTGCTGTGGCTATTGCATCTGATTATCCTTTTGTAGTTGTAACTGCTTTTGCAATGGAAATTATATTTGAATTGTTAGCTGATTCGACCCCGCTTTCTGCATCTTCCTTCTATTTATCTTTGATGTCGAAATTTAATGGCTTTCATTTGTGGGAGTTCTTAATCTTCATTTTAATCTGGTTTTACGTTGCACCTAAGTTTCCTGAAAAGACACATACACACACACACTCACACTTTATTTGTATTAAACATTAGCTTGACATGGAATGTAATTGTTGAATTTTGAGGAATATTTAAAGTCAATAAGAAACAAATTGAAGATTTTAATATGGGTCCATTATTCATTAATGTTATAGATTTGATGATAAGTGCATCCAACGGTTGAGAAATCATTGCGCATATATGGTAAGGGTTTGTTCTTATTGTTTGAGTTAGGAGCCGAAGATATTGATTTGGTCCATAGGTAGGTAGGCCATTTTCCATTTAGATTGAATTGAATTCTGAAGAGAAATGGGTAGGATCACAAATATAATTATTACATTATGAGACCCTTAACCCGAAATTAAGAATGTTCATATTATTAACTACCTAAATCACTCATCAGTGCAATAAGTTTCAGAATACCATGTACACAATATAATTCAAGACCTCTCAATACCAACGAAAATTACGAAACTACCAAAATTTAATTCCAGAAAATTGGGATCAAGAAGTATCCAACAGTTCAACTGAAAAGACATTAAATCTAATAGAATTTTTAGAAGAGCACAGCAAATGGCACTCTCCGAAATAAAAGATCAAAAATAAAAATATTGTTCAGCAGAAACAAGTAAGAAACCAATACTTAAAAAATCAACCCTCACAGAGGGAAACCACCAATAGGAGAGAGAATTTAGTCGACCTCTTCGATCTTGGGACCAGCAGTGCTGCCACCATGTGAAGGAGCAGCCTCGTCATCATCCATGGGAGCCTCACCACCAGCACCCTGGTACATCTTGGCAATGATTGGATTGCAAATGCTCTCCAACTCCTTCATCTTGTCCTCAAACTCGTCCGACTCTGCCAGCTGGTTAGCATCCAACCACTGAATGCTCGCCTCAATGGCATCCTCAATCTTCTTCTTGTCGGCAGCGGGCAGCTTGGAGGCAATCTTTTCATCCTTGATGGTGTTCCTCATGTTGTAAGCATAGTTTTCCAAGGCATTCTTCGACTCGACCTTCTTCTTGTGCTCCTCGTCCTCGGACTTGTACTTCTCAGCCTCCTGGACCATCTTCTCAATCTCGTCCTTTGAGAGCCTGCCCTTGTCATTTGTGATTGTAATCTTGTTCTTCTGTCCGGTGGTCTTGTCCTCAGCAGAAACGTTCAAGATACCGTTTGCGTCGATGTCGAAGCAGACGGTAATCTGAGGTACACCCCTTGGAGCCGGTGGGATCCCGGAAAGTTCGAACTTGCCGAGCAAGTTGTTGTCACGGGTTCTCGTCCTCTCTCCTTCGTAGACCTGGATCAAGACACCGGGCTGGTTGTCGGAATAGGTAGAGAAGACCTGCTCCTTCTTGGTGGGGATGGTGGTGTTTCTTGGGATCAAAACAGTCATGACTCCTCCGGCAGTTTCAAGACCAAGGGAGAGGGGAGTGACATCGAGAAGCAACAAGTCCTGGACCTTCTCGTTACCCTCACCGCTTAGAATGGCGGCCTGAACAGCGGCACCATAGGCAACAGCCTCGTCTGGGTTGATGCTCTTGCAAAGCTCCTTGCCGTTGAAGAAGTCCTGCAACAATTGCTGGACCTTGGGAATTCTGGTTGAGCCTCCAACAAGAACAACGTCATGGATGGTGCTCTTGTCCATCTTGGCATCTCTCAAACACTTCTCGACTGGCTCCATGCACTTTCTGAATAGATCCATGTTAAGCTCCTCAAATCTGGCACGGGTGATGGTTGAGTAGAAGTCAATGCCCTCGTACAAAGAGTCGATCTCGATGGTGGTCTGGGCGGTAGAAGAGAGGGTTCTCTTCGCTCTTTCACAAGCTGTTCTCAATCGTCTAAGAGCCCTGGGATTGCCGCTGATGTCTTTCTTGTTCTTCCTCTTGAATTCTTGAACGAAATGGTTGACCATCCTGTTGTCGAAATCCTCACCTCCCAAGTGAGTGTCACCGGCAGTTGCCTTCACCTCAAAAATACCCTCCTCAATTGTGAGGAGAGAAACATCAAAGGTACCACCTCCAAGATCGAAGATCAAGACATTCTTCTCACCGACACTGGTGGCCTTCTTGTCAAGACCGTAGGCGATGGCAGCAGCTGTGGGCTCATTGATGATTCTCATCACGTTGAGACCAGCAATGACACCAGCATCCTTTGTCGCTTGACGCTGGGAATCGTTGAAGTAAGCTGGGACGGTGACCACAGCGTTCTTCACGGTCGAGCCGAGGTAAGCCTCAGCAATTTCTCTCATCTTCATCAAAACCATAGATGAGATTTCCTCAGCAGCAAACTGCTTGTCTTCACCCTTATAGTTGACGACGATCATGGGCTTCTCACCAGGTCCGGGAATGACCTTGAAGGGCCACATCTTCATGTCACCTTGAACGGGAGCATCAGAAAATCGCCTTCCAATCAACCTCTTAGCATCTGCAAAAGAAGTAATACATAAGAACAGTCTCCTCGGTAGTACCAAATGTATATATGAATCATTCTTAACCAATGGGTGAAAACAAAGTATCAGGATAATCAATGAAAACACATTGGCATGATGTACAGAAATCACAACTAAAGCACTGTCAGTATACACGCAATGGACATAGATAAACAACAACTCATGTACATACTTACAGGATCGTGTAGATAGTCTTACAATGATATTATTTTCCAAATGTAATGGAAACAAACAGCTCAGTATCGATAGTGGCTAATAATAGAATCACAAGTAATTTTCAACGAATTATTGTCAACGTAATGTTTGAGTTTCATGGCATATATAATTTGGTGTTGGCTTATTTGATTAAATATAACATGGAACACACATTACATGAGAAGAACTAATACATACTCACATGATTGAGAAATACGTACAAATATCACATGTACAACAGAATTATAATAAAAAATTCATATACATGAAGTTGAAATCAGGATCGTTCAAACTAATACTATACAACTTAAGATGCTAAACTACATTAGACCAGATGTAGCAGCTAGTAAAATAAACTCAGTACGAGTCATAAGCAATACATAAACTTAACATCAAATATCAAAAACGCCAGATCCAGAACATAACAACAGATCTAACAGCAAATAAAATCAGAATCGAAGTATACAAGTCAAGTCAATCGTGAACACAAAAGTCAATCAAGTACTCCTAACATAGATCCGATCTAAAAAAAACTTGAATCAGAACACAAGCAATGAAATCCAACGCAGATAGTAGAATAGAGGAGCTCAGATCTCACCGAAAACTGTGTTCGTGGGGTTCATGGCGACCTGATTCTTTGCGGCGTCTCCGATAAGCCTCTCCGAGTCTGTAAATCCGACATACGACGGAGTGGTTCTATTTCCCTGGTCGTTGGCGATGATCTCAACGCGGTCATGCTGCCACACGCCGACGCAGGAGTACGTCGTTCCGAGATCTATACCTATCGCCGGACCCTCTCCTTTTCCTGCCATTGTTTACTGTTCTATTCTCAGATCTAAATCTGGAGAATAAAAGAATATGATAAAGTGTAAATCGTAAGGAGAACTAGGGTTTGTGAGGAGTAATATTAGAAGGAAGAGGTAGTATTTATAAGGCGACTGATGAACAGGTCACCTGTTTGTTATTGGGTTCCAGAATGTTCTGATAAAAAGCCCAATTAAAAAGGAGCCGTTGGATTGGATGCTAACGGCGATCGATTTATTCCCCTGTTTTGCGTGGAATTTGAATTATATATCGCCCGACTGATTCGTTAACGCTGAGTTGCCGACCAGGACCACGTTTTCACTCTTCCATTTGCACTTTTTATTTTATGGAAAAGACCATAATAGCCTTACTTATTTATGTCTTTGTGTAGTACAAATTATTTTGAATTTAATTTTTATTTTGTCCTTAAATTCGTCAAATACTGATTGTGCCCGAAATGTTTTACTATTAATTATAAATTTCTTTTGTATTAATTGCAACACTTAGGATCTACACTTGGATGAAGGTTAATTTAAATAAATTTATTTATGAAACTAGATCAATTAAAAACTAATAAATTTTAATTCATAAGCCCATTTTTTTTTTATCTTTTTTACCTTTTTTTCTTTGAGGGGTGTGGGGGACTGAAAAGGGAATATCCATCCATAATGCACTAGGATACATTTTATTCCGAATTTAACTTTACTATAATTATCAATTTTCTGCATTTTTTAAATTAATTTAATTATATATCATTCTACACTTTAAATTACTTTAGTAAATGGGCTTTATATTATTCTATTATTTCAATTCAATTTTCAGCCCAGTAAGCTAATTGGGGAAGCCATTGCTCGTCTTCCTTTTCATTTCAGCAGATGGACCGAATAGAAGGCAGGGGTTTTAATCTACTTTAAGTCCATACTTGTAATTGTGAACATAAAATTGTTCAAATTTCATTAATATCTTTTTTTTTTATCGAGTTTTATAAATTGTGTTTAAGTTTGATCCAATAATTAGCAATGAGCTCGATTGACATTTAATCAAGCCAAATACAAATTGATTATATTAGCTTGATCTTTTATACATATTTTGTTTCTTCAAATTGGGCTCGAGCTCCAGCAGAAGTTTATATCTAATCGAACCAAAGTATATGTTTAAGTTATGTTCGTATGTTCACCAGTCGAGCTAAAATGATTGTTTAACGATTGATGTTGAATCCAATGTGCAACATCAACTAAATTAAATTGGTATCTATTAGGAAATTATCAGCCAACTGTTGAGACAAGTAACTCATAAAAACATGTAAACCCTAATTATATTTGTATGATGAGTATTACAGTAAAAACAAAACAAAGAACACGATAATTAATGTGGTGCAGCCAAGAACGAGGCCTACATTCACCAGGAAATGGAGAATTAATCAAACACCAACAATGTTCGAGAGTTACAAAGCACAAAAAAATTATCTTACACTATCTTCTCTCTAATGTATCTCTCTTTATTCTACAGCTTTTCTATTTCCTCTCTCCCTTGATTCTCTCTGCCTTTCAGGTCTCGATATCTCTTTGTTTGGCTTTCTCCTCTCGGCACTCACGGATCTCACTCTCTCTCGCAATTCGTCTAACCCCTCTTTTGCTCATTTTGTTCATCTACTAGGGGGGTCCTTTATTTATAAGCAAACGAATCTTGTTATTGTGCCAAAGACGGACTCCTTCATTAACAATGAAGTTTCCTTCCATGACTCTTTCTACGACTCCTAGATTAATACCAATTTATTTCAACTTAATTATTTCCGACTCGGAAGACACCTCAACTCAGTTTCTTATCCACAAATTTATGCAACATAAAGTAATAAATATAATTAAATAAAATAAAAAATTGGTTGTTGGTTGCCAATCATAGATGTAGAAGGAAAAAATGCTGTCATTTTGGTGACTGCATGCCGTTAGCAACTAGAATAAATATAGTTAAATTTCATAATTAATGCTCATTGTACACAAATTCAATACTAGAATGACAAAATACAAAGTGTCATTTTCTGATATATCACACGTCTCAACCCATGCAGTAATGCAGTGTATCAAAGCATGCAAGTATTTGTTCCCAAATCCCTTCAAATTGAAACATTTGTGGAAGTAATTGTTTCCATGTAAAGAAGGCAACCTAGGTTGGCCTCATGTTATCGAATTTGATCTCGTCCATTCATTTTCTTCGGAGTTAGTTGGGCTTTTCAATTGATTCTGTTCACTAATGACGGGAATTTAATATCACCAATATATAATGAATTTGATGTAGGTCGATCGGCAAATATTACGCTCACAAAACATATATAAATTTTTATATTAAAAGTATATATTATTGGTTGGTGCATTTTCGAATTTTCAAATGCTTTGTAACTGGACAGTGCGAACACTTTTGTTGTTGGCCTCAAATAACCCTTTCCCTCTATAATTGTTTACTTTTACAAATGCTCCCTATCCTGAAATGCTACAAGAGGGAAATAATGTGCGTTGAAAACTAAAGGAATAAAGAACAAGATCGATCGCAACCCAGACAAAAATCCGACAAATCTAGCTTGGTCGATGATTTTTTTGTTTAATTTATAAATTAAGCTAATACCATTTTACGTTTATTGCAAAATTATTAGATTGATTGAATGTTATATATTCAATCTACTACCAACGAATTCTAAGAGAATGAGCATGGACTACAAAAGTGGAGTTTTGTGGTGCTAATTAACCTAATGAATTATCTAACTTTGTCTCGTATATAGATATAATAATTAAAAGAAGGGTTAAATTCTAGCTCACTACTAGCACGCAGTCGACACTCGACAACAGCCAAAAAAATATAAGCTCATGGAGTTTATGTAATTGTACTATGACTAATTAAGGCCGGAGTTTGTCGAAGGGGCTCAACTTCGATCGCAAAGAATCGAGAAATTAATGGTTCAATTCAAATTTAACGATAATTAACGCAGGGGTTTAGATTTGATTTATGGTTAGGTGCAAATGTTTTAACTCTAATGAAGTTTCCAGCCATTTGTGTAAGAGAGAATTAAATATATGAGTAGGAAGGCATGAAAGTGAAGGGTAGAGAACTTTCATCAATAGGACAATAGGAAAAGACCAAACAGTCCCCATTCCTTCAAACGTCGCTTCACTGTCAAATTGAATCCTCAAATCAAACACTCTCACTAAAACTAATTAACAAATTTATTCCCACGCATTAAAATCCAAATCATTGTTAGATTAAAAAAACAATTACTTTAATTAAATGATGTCACAATTTTTGCCAATAAATACCCCTACTCCAGCTATTAACCCATAAGCCAGCATTATTTGGCGGACATCTCCAAAACACTTTCTCCATACTGATCGATCATCTAATAAATATTTTTTCTCTTAAATAAAAATTTTAATTTCCACACCAATTATTGATTAATAATAATAATGGCGAGCAGCACGGTGGCGGAACGATCGCGCATCATGTGGTGCATGCGGCTGCAGTCGGCCTTACGAACCGCGATGGCGTGCACCATAATAGGGTGCGCCACCATCTACGGCCCGGAGTTCCTCGTCAGCGAGATAAGATTTGCGGCGTTTTCGTATCTGACGGCGGTGCTGATAGTATCCGACGCGTCGCTGGGCGACACGATGAGCGGGTGTTGGCATGCATTTTGTGCGACGGCGCAGGTGGTGCCGCTCGCCGTGCTGGGGAGGTGGCTGGTTGATCCGACAGAGGGGCTGCCGCTGGGTTATGCGGCGGTGGCTGTTGGGGTGGCGGCGTTTCTTGTGGCCATGCCGGAGTGCACGCATTTGACGGCGAAAAGGATTGCGTTTGGGCAGATTGTGTTGGTGTGCAGTGACGCCGTTATTGGTAGAGACGGAAAAAGTGACGCGGCGTTTATGAACCCAGTGTATGTTGCGGCTAGTACCGCCCTTGGTGCTTTGGCTTCTGTATTGGCGTTGCTGATACCGTACCCGAGTTTAGCCTGTCACAAGGTAACGCTATAATACATGTTTTGCTTATTTACTTTTCAACTTTCAATTTTACTTTTGCAAAAATAAATTTAAGAAATTATTTGATCTATACAATCAGAAATATTTGATTTGAAATAGAAATTAATTTTACATAATTTACAAAATTCATCTCTAAGATAAAATTTCTCCATATTAAAGCCAATTAATGGATCTGATCTTAATATTTGATCTCATTTTAGTCCTTCATATTTCAATTTGTCTTTGATATATAAAATATAAAACAAAAATTAATAAGTACTATTATGATCTATAATTAAAATTTTCAATTAAAAAAGTAAGGCTATGTTTTACAAAATATTAGATTTTAATATGCAGAGAATACATTTTGAGGAAAAGAGTTCAATATATAAATCCATTCATAATTAATTATAATATATCCTTCACATATATTTCTCTACTTTAATTTACATTTTTTTATGTTAAAATTGAAGAAGCTAGATAAATTTATATATTACAATTTATCAAATAAAATTATAAAAACAGAATATTTTATCCAAATTATTTTTTCTCTCTGTAAAAATTAATGAAAAATGCAAATTGGGGGACTCTAAGGAGAATAACTTAGAAATGAAGGGGAAATAAGATAAATAAATAAAAATGAGGGGGCAAAAAAGACAAAGTAATTGTCAAAGTTGGACTAGCCCATCAAGCTTTAAAGTTTAATGGACCAAAAAAAACAAATTGAGGGGACTATTATGCAATTTGGAAATTTAAAATACTAACATAATTTAATCCCATCAGGTACAAAAATTGTGCAGAGTATACGGTGAAAACGCTTCACAGAGGATGAATATATACATGAGAGCATTTAGCGCGCGTGACAACCACACTAAAACAGAGCTTATATCTCAAACCAAGCCCTTGTCTGAAACAGGGGACAAGCTTTTGCAGACTATCATTATCTTACAGGTATTTTTATTTCTGCAAAATTATAAGTCGACCGTTGAATCACGCGCTTTAATTCGCAATTTATTGAATCAATTTATCGTTTTTTTTTTCCAGGAAGGAATGAAATGGGAAAGACCTTGGAGCCGATATCTGGAGCCAAATAAAGTCAGCCCCGGTGAAATATTGCAAAACGTTGAACTGCAAATGAGAGGAATAGAATATTCCCTGGTATCTTCTCCCGTGCAAACAATCGATCAAGAACATCTCTCCAACGTATTGCAGGGTTTATCTATTCAGCTCGAAAAGAGACTAGAGCAACTTACGTGTTCTTCTCCTTACAACTCGAGCAAAGAATCAGAAACGAGAGGAGAATTTACGGAACAGCCATCATTACCGATCGAGGCAATGTCCCCAATACTCGAGCACGGATGGGCATTTTTCTACTTCTCCTGCGTAGATATGTTGCTGAGCGATTCTTCCGCATCGCCAAAATATCTCCAAACTCAGCCTGCAAAAACAGAGGATTTCAGCATTTTAATAAAACTCAGGAATTGGATTTCGAAAATCATAAAAAACGGGAGGCTGGAATTTGCCCTCAAATGCTCACTCTCGTTGAGCCTAGCAGTGCTATTTGGATTGATATTCGACAAAGAAAACGGCTGCTGGGCAGGTCTCACGATTGCAATCAGCTTTGTCACAGGCAGACAAGCAATCTTTACAGTAGCAAACACGAGAGGACAAGGCACAGCCATTGGATCGGTGTACGGTGTAATATGCTGCTTCCTCTTTCACTCGGAAGAAATGAGGCTATTAGCCCTTCTTCCATGGATCGTTTTCACCTGCTTTTTGAGGTACAGCAAATTGTACGGCCAAACAGGGGGGGTGTCGGCAGCCATTGGAGCACTGTTGATAGTCGGCAGAAAGAATTACGGGGTTCCAAATGAATTCGCCATTGCCCGATTAACAGAGGTTTTTATCGGCCTTTCAGCTTTCATTCTCGTGGAGCTTTTCCTGCAGCCAATCAGAGCAGCCACATTAGCCAAGAATCATTTATCTCTAACGCTGAACTCACTCGAGGATTGCGTAAAGGAAATCGGATTTTTTCCAGTGCAGAAAAATCAATTTCTCGAACTGAGAGAGAAGCAAAGAAATCTCAGTTCCTTAGTCTGCGAGCTAAGGAAATTCGTAGCGGATGCTGAGCTCGAGCCCGATTTCTGGTATTTGCCTTTCCGTGGTTCTAGCTATCAGAAGTTGGTCGGTTCTTTGTCGAACATAGTGCACATGTTGTACTTCATTACGTACAACTTCGAAATACTTCTAGAACTATCCGAGAAAAGCAACGTGTGCAAGGAATTCCAGGAGCAGATAAGTAACGAACTGGAATTATTTCAAGAAACGCTAAGCTCGTTACAGGTATATCTGGAGAAGGCCCTTTCTACTGAATCTCAAGCCGACACTAACGGGAGCATCGATGAGAAGTTCAGAGACCTTGAAATGGGGAAGCCACAAAATCGAGAAAAACAAAGTGTTAGTATCATCGCAGAAAATAAAGAAACGGAGATGAGTAGTGATGAGGTGGAGAGTGAAGAATTAAGAGAGAGAATGATTCGATGTTTGGGTGCGACGGGGTTTTGCATCAGTTCGTTGATGAAAGAAATAGACGATACCGAGATGTGTATACGAGAGATAGACCAATGGGAGAGTTAGTCGAACACTCTTCATTTTTCTTTTGCTTCTGTAAATTTTTAACTAGTACTGTGAAAGTTCTTACATCAACATTATAGCACTGTAATTTGAACCACAAACTTAACAGAAGATGAAACATTCAGTAGAAATAAACATGTTTCAAAATTAAAAAATTAAATTAAATAAAGGACTGATAAACAGAGAGCACTGAATGGAATTTTATACAATTAATTTAAATTATAATCAGGAAATCATGAAGAATTGGTCAATTGGAATCGAGAAATAGCATAAATTGAAAGATATATTGAGAATTTAATATTCATTTCGGGAGGAAAAAAAAAAGGGGGGGGGGGAATCTGATTACAGAGCCCACAGTCGATAAACCCTAATCATCTAATAAAACTACTAGGAATAGAAAGCTTAGTCCTAAACATCCATCAATTGAAACCCTAACCACCGAATCCATAGAGAGTACGGCCCTGCCTCTTGAGAGCGTAAACGACATCCATGGCCGTGACGGTTTTCCGGCGAGCGTGCTCGGTGTAAGTAACGGCGTCGCGGATGACGTTCTCAAGGAAGATCTTCAGGACGCCACGTGTCTCCTCGTAGATGAGGCCGCTGATACGCTTGACGCCGCCTCTGCGAGCCAAACGGCGGATAGCCGGCTTGGTGATGCCCTGGATGTTATCCCTGAGCACCTTACGGTGTCGTTTGGCTCCGCCCTTCCCCAAACCCTTGCCGCCCTTTCCGCGCCCTGACATTTTTCAATTGAGAGATTGAAGAGGGGAATTGATTGTTGATTGAAACTTGGAATTGTGGTAGCCGGGATTATAAAGGATGTCTCGTGGGTTCGAAGTGGAATTTCAGCCGTTCGATCTCAAACTTTAATCAACGGATAGGCGCGGCGATCCCGGCCTTATGTGTTAGGCCTATCTGAGCCGTTGATACGGATTAGATCGATGGTGTTTATTTGTCTACTGATTAGATGGCACGGATCGTGGTATTGCAACTTGTGTGGAGCTTTGCTGGGCCTGGAAGGTGGACTTATTTGGTACCAAATAAAAATATTTGGGCCTTTCATGAAACTATTTATTCTTTAATTTAATAAAACATATTATTTGTTCTGTGGCCTGTTGGACTGTTACCTTTCGGGCCCAATACCGGTGAGTTTTAAAATATTTTTTTTTTTTTTTAAAAACACTAAACTAAAACAAAGCATGCTTTCGTCTATAAACTTATGTCTCGTTTGGTTGTCAAGATAGATTGAATAATCTAATGAAAACTCAATTATTTTAGTTAGACAACAAAAAATTAATATAATATTTACAGATCGACTCGACAAGTTATTAAATGATACAGACATCAAACGAAGTTCTCGATTATTTAGTTAATTATTATATCGTAAAGGAGAAAGAAGATGTTTTGAAGTGCGGTAAGGGGAAAGCATATATAATAAGAATGGTGGATAAATAAATAGATGCATTAATTGAATTAAATAGAGCTTTACAAGCGTGGTTTCTTTTGTTGGAGAATCCACAAACCAAATGGCTCCATTGTTTCCATCTTCCCACCTTTTATTATTTATTCATTTAATTAATTAATTTACTTCTCTTGCCAAACACCCCACTCCAAACTACTAATTTTCCCATTTGCTTCCACCACTCAAACACCCCCACGCGTGCATCTTTATTTTGATTTTTTATACATTTAAATCAATTTTATTTATTTATACATACATAACATATTGTTTTTTTATATATGTATGAATAAAGGTTAAGTTTGCTTGTCTAATAATTGTTTGAATTGAGTACATATAGAGTTCATAAGAGAATAACATCTTTAATTTTGCTAAAATCATTTAGGTTCAACTAAATAATGATTCAATTCGATTATAATTTATATGCATGTGGGAACCAAACAGAAAAAAGAAAATTGATTGGAAAATTGCGTATACATGCTCGTATATATAGCAAAAGTAGTTTAACAGCCGATAGTCCATATAGAAAGTGATGTGATAAATGTTGTTTAAGTTTTAATAATAATGTTTCGATTAAAAGATGATTTTGACCACTTTGGAGGTTGAATATAGCAAAACTCAAAACACGGAATTTGTAATTCCTTGAGTTAACTTTCAAATCCAATTTGAATCGCCAAGATTGGAAGTCATGTGAGAAAGATATGAATGAATCAATGAACATTGTCAACAACTTTAATGTTTGAGTTATCCAAAATTCAATACGTGATTAATTCATACATAACTTTGTGACCCAACATTCAATATATATGATTCAAATTGAATTAGAAAACTAACTCAAAGGGCTACAGTTTCTGTGTTTCACAATTTGCCAAAATCATAATAGAAGATGATCAAAATCACGTTCGAAGTCAAAACATTATCAGCAAAACTGAAACGACATTTATCATTTCAGATACACAAATTAGTTTGAAAGAATCGCTCCATAAATTACAGTAACTTGATAATAAATAAATAAAAACTAAAACCAAGAAATATTGCAGTAGATGATTTTAAATAATTTATAATTGAACCATGCTTAAAGTATTTTATAACAAATAATAATAATAAGATGTGCCTTGAGGAATTTCCCTTTGCCTTTATATTTGTACTATTATTTATTATAACATCTCTCGTGAATCAATGAATGGAGATCACTTTATCAAAGACTTTGAACTTGATTGTATTGTTCCCTCCACTCCAAACAACAAGGCGTGAATTTCTCAATATTAAAATACTAATTAAAAAAAATTGATGCGAATAATACTAATTAATTAATTAATTACGCAAAAATACTTGACATTATTAGACCCCTACTAATATAATAATTACAATTTCTGCCCAAGGATCTTCAACTCTGTGCACAAGATTTTCTTTCAGGTGATAAATAATCATGGCCCAACTAATTATTTTATTTGTTCAACAATATAAAATTTACCCCTCATTCACACTTAGAGCCCGTTTGGCTAAGCTTATTAAAACATCTTATAAGCTCCTACATCTGATAAGATGTTTTAGGAGCTGATAAGCTGTTAGATCTTATTTTAAAAATTATTTTTTAAGGTGTTTGTATATGTAGCTTATAAGTTACTTTTTGTTTTTATAAGTTGTTCAGGTGTTTGGAAATAAAAGGTCTGTTTATTGCTATAATGACAAAAAAGTACATGACGCCACTATAATTGTTAAACTTATATGACTCAAATACTTGTGTTCCTAAAATATTATTATAATATTTACAAATTATTTTTTCAAATAATAATAATAATGTAAAATAAAAGTTGTAAAAGAAATATATTTTTTTATATAGATGAAAGAAATATAATTTATCATGGAGATAATAAGAATATTCGTGTATTTTTATATACATATAAAATATAAATAGAGAATAATTTTTTTTACAATTATTATGATAATTACGATAATTATATTTAACTAATTATTAATCTTGATTACAAGAATACGTTGTTTTGATAAAATATAAATATTATTAGTATTCATGTAATATAATAAAGTATTTGGGGGTAATTTTGTATTTTAAGTGTTTTAATAAATAAGCAAATAAGATCTTAAAGAAAAAAGGTGGGGTAGAGGTACTTTTTTAAAAACATCTTATAAGCTCCCTAACAGCTTATTTTTGGAAAAAATAAGATCTTTTGCAATTTTTTTACCAAACACCTTTTAACAACTTATAAGCTCCTAAACATCTTATAAGATGTTTTTAGGAGCTTATAAGCTTAGCCAAACAGGCTCTTAATTAGTTTAATCTTTTTTCTCCAATTAATTAAAGTTTATTTTCCAAACTTTAGTTAGTGGATGGCCCATTTGGTTCACTAACTCAGCATAAGTATCAATGTAATAATTATTTAAATAAAACTATGTCCTATATTTTTGTGTGTGTTTGTATCTCTTTGTATTTGGTGCATTATTTAGGGGATTAGTCAAAACTTTAATTTGACTATCGTTGTCGAACGAATACCTACCACATTAATTATGATAATTTTGGGAAAATTTTCAACAAGGGCATATAATAAATATATAGAAAAATTAAAAAAATATATAGAATTGGATTAAAGACTTTAATGGGCTTAAAGAATTAAATTAATGAGACTGGTCCATTAATTTATTTATTTATAGAATAATCGTAGTTTGGTTTATTGCGGATGACCCAATGGGGTTGATATCCTATAAAAAATTAGTTTTTGAATATATTTTTAATCTCGATTAATTTTCAAAAACTATACTTATAAATATTAATATTAATATGTACTTATATTGCATGTGAATTGATAGAATTTTGCATTTTATCGTATGAAATAAAAAAAAATTACTTTAAAAAAAATTAATTTCGATAAAATTAATGACTAGTGCATAAAGTTATGCACTAGTATAGTTTTGTGTGTGACACCCAAATTGATGATTAAAATACGGCCATAAATCACATCAATGAAAAGTAGTATTAGTAGGCCAATTGCACCCTTTTATTTTTCCCCTTTTTCTTTCTAAAATAAATATTGACTCCAAAAGTGATTTTGTGATGGGTTTAAACAGCATACTTGATATAGATGCTAACTGGACCATGTTTTTTTTTGTTTTCTTAATGTAATTTTCTCAAATTTATAAAAAATAAAAAAGGAAAAAAAAGGTAACTAGGGGCCAACTTTTATGTTGGTATTCTTTTGAATGTATGATTAATAGTTTGAATGGTCAAGAATGTATGATTTCAGTCTTCATATGAAGCATAGGATACCTCCTCTCATTTTCCCTTTTTGAATCTTTGATTCTTCAATCCTAATTATTTTCTTATGTTTGTGCTTAAATGAATTTTTTTTTATTTTTTATTTTAATTACAAACAACACAGAAAGAATAATTTCAATTATGGTTGATTATGAACTTATGGAGTAGTAAACAATTGGATGAATCATAATACAACCACCCATGGGTCCCACCAATTTTACACACACACTACAGAGAGAGAGAGAGCTCACGCACGCACGCAGACAAAGCTAGCATGATTGTTCACACGTTTGGCACACCAACATATGAAAAAATAATAACTGTAAAATAAAATTCATCAATAGTGAAAAGTTAAATGCAAATAAATGTAATTTAATGTGCCTCCGAATTATGTGTCTATATAGGTTCAAGTGTCTCACCCACCGTGCAGCACTCCTCATCTTTTGACTGTCTTTTACTCTCTCTCTCTACATCTTCTCTCTCTAGAAAGATTTGTGCTGTACTCTGTGGAAAGATTTGCCGTTTCTTGCTTCTGGGTTTTTGGCTGTTTGTGTAAGTCTTCATTTTCTTCCCTATTTTTATTTTTGTTGCCGTATTAGATTGCGTTGAGCTGTACCGGAATAATGTTATGTTTGATGTTTGATTTTGCTGTTTGTTTATTATATGTTTATGTTTCTTTAAGGTTGGTCTGTTTGTCATTAATTAGATCTATTTTTCTTGCTGTTTTGAATCTTTTTTTGTTTTGCTGCCTGACATTAGCATTTGTAAGAATTGTAGTAATTAAGGTATCAATTATCATAGCATGGGGAAAAAGATTGGGTTTTTATTTTTTTTAGCCTTCAATTATGTAGGGATGAGATGACTGTTTCTTATAAATACTTGTTGAATCTTGGAATGGAATTGGAATCTACTCTCCTTCTGGTTAAAATAATTCAGCTTTTTTCGTCGCATAAATATTTCCGTTCAACCCCATCGTCCATAAATGTGATTTAAAATGATCTTGTAATATCAGGGTTTTCGGGTTTCTGGTTTCGGGTTTTCGGGTTTCACATATATTTTTTTCTTTTATTATGTGACAAAGATGAAAACTTTTTTTTTTTGGGATCATTTATGTTTTTCTTTGATTGCAACAATTGCTACCTTAATCTGCTTATTTGTTTGAGGGATCTTCCCAAATTAGCTACCTTTTTATTACCTTGAAACATAAAACAAAGGAAAATCGTTTTGTCAGCCTATTTACATAAAAAAATTAAATTCGTGTTGTTTACGACATTTCGTTAATTTTCTAAATATGGTTCTGAATCAATTCGTTTATAATATTCCAGCAGGTAGGGGGCTTTTATAGTTATTACAAAAGTGGCAACCGATCAAAGCGACGACCAGTATGCGGTGGTATAGTCTGTCCATCGACGTGTTTCGCAAAGTTATCTCTTTGAACTTGTACTGCCGCGTCATTCTCTAAAACCCCGTCAATTCGAAAGTCGCCTTTTTTATTTCTCAAATTTTCGTATTCCTCTTTGAATCTTTTGTTATTCCAATGGGATCTACTCACTTTGTTGTCATTCCACACTTTGTTCGCTGCATAAGTTGAACTTTTTCTTCTACACCCCTGTAACTTTGGCAGCCCATTTTTACTTTTTTTCTTAAATATTGTCTTTCACACTCGTCTCGATATTTTTATTTGGATTAAGTTTTTAGTGATCTTTCGCCGGATCAAGATTAGTTATTTATTTCCCTTCTTCGAGCAAAGGATTCTCAAATTGTTAGAAAAATCTCCGATCAAAACTTTCGGTGTGATTTCGAGTGAAGGTGGTTTGGCAAAAGTAGTTATGGTAAGCCAAGCAGCTAGTCAGACAAGATTTCGTGAATTGAAACACGAGAAAGGAATTGCCGGTTGTGCCACCATAATCGTTAGAGTTATAGTATGCTTTCAACCCCTTCAAGATTGCCAGGTCAGCATCCAACATTTTTACTACGATTTCTATAACTGTTTTTTTCCTAAGATGCTCGATTATCTTCACACGTACTAATAATCTGTTTTTTTCCTTGTCTGTATTTCAGGCCGAGTATTTTCGTCATATGCTTAAACCCGTTACGTAGATAGATTTTTATTTTCACTGCATTCAAGTTAATAAGCTGGATTTTCCTTATTATTTCTGTTTTCACCCCCACACGAGACGACAATCAATCAATTACTCTTAGGTACGTTAAAAAAAAAAAAAAAAAAAAAAAAAGTCGACTTTTCCCCCGTTTTCCCTAACAGCTGTGCTAACGAATACTTATTACAATCAGGTCATTCATTAACTCTGCTCGATGAAAAGGACCTCCGGATTTGGATATCATCATCATCTGATGTCAGCTAATTCGACTTTATCCGGTTTTCCTTTCGATGCGGGCCGTCACTATTCGTTTGAGGATCCGACATCGAGAAATGTTCCCCTGCTTCCATGTAATGGGTTGCAAGAATCAAACGCAAGTGAACTAAATGTTTCAAGAAATCATTTTTACGATGTGCCCAGAGAGAATTTTCACGCGGGCCCCACCGAGTTAGGACAGCCAAAAATTCCTACAGCGCCTGCTCATCAGAAGAGATTTCTCGTCTTCGATCAATCTGGTGACAAAACAACATTGATGTACACTCAATGGTCACCAAAACCTCATAACCCGTACAATTTGAATAAAGAAGGGCCCACGTATAGTAACTTTCCTTCGAGGCCAAATACGAAAGATGAAATCATCGAAGATAACTCGGAAAGAAATGCTGCCATGGAAGGTGAAGAAATGCATGAAGATACCGAAGAACTAAATGCTCTGCTCTGCTCGGATTACGACACTGATATTTCTGAAGACGATGAAGAAACAAGCACCGGTCATTCACCTAGTACAATGACTGACAATGGGGTACCCGATTCGATCGAAGCTGACAGTTTTGGTGGGCCCACTAAAAGGCAGAAGCTTTTTCATGCGAAAACCTCTGCATTGGAAGATGACGCAGATTCCAGTTACGGCAATGGTTGTAAAAGATCGAGGAAGGAGAAGATAAACGAGACGGTGAGAGTACTGCGAAATGTAATTCCGGGTGTGGATGGGAAAGAAGCAATGGTTGTTATCGACGAAGCAATTCATTACTTGAGATATTTGAAGGTCAAAGCCAAGTCTTTTGGACTCGATTCTCTTTGAAGTTTTATTCACCCGCCACCGATAAAATTATTCGTAAAAAGACTTGTGATTTGCTGTATAAGGCAGTCCCGATATTTGTTTCGAAGAAGCCTCGTCAGCACCCTCTTTGAAGAGTTGTGTTTACAGTTGTTGATATTGAGTGATGTTCATGAGATGACTGATTTATATAGTTTTTTTGGTTTTGATGTTTAATGTTGTTTTGGATTAGTTGTGTTGTGATAAACTGATAATATTTTGGTTTTGTGATGTAAATTTGTTGGGTTCTGTTTGGCTTACACAAATAAACAAACATGCTTATAAAAATAATAACACTTGAACAAAAAAAACAAAGAAAGTTAAGTCAAGATATCGCCGGATTGACCCTAACACATGGAGCCGTTTTTCCAGGGCTTTTGAGATCCTACACCGGGTGAAATACATCGGGTAGATCTTTACCATTTATATACACACAAACATACACACCCACATTGGTATGTGTAGATCAACGGTAAAAAATCACACCCACATTGGTATGTGTAGATCAACGGTAAAAAATAACCCGGTGTAACCTTCACCGGGTGTAGGATAAATAAAACCGTTTTTCCAGCTCGGCTCGATACCCTTTTTGTCAAAGTCGACACCTGGAAATCAATCCACTTTGACAGCAGCACCAATTCAGTATTAGATACAAAGCCCTAGATCTACCCTCTCACTCACTGAGTTGATTCAGCGGCACTCAATCAAGAATCAGTTCACTCGAAAGACCGAAACACTCACGAAATTCTTCTTTTTTCACTTAGTTTCCCTCGCTCACATTCCATCACCCTAAGATAGGAGAAGAAAAAAATTGAATAGTGTCCCACCTCTTTCTCATAGTCTGCAGCTGCTTCTATAGCACAAGAAACAACGATCAAAGACAACAAAACTGCCTTCGAATTAATGCTCTACATGTGATTTGGTCCGTGGGGCTTCGTCTTCCTCGAGTCACCTTCCGTGCTTACTCCGATGATGGTACCTGCAACGCCGGGAGGGGTTCCCGGCGGGAGAGCTCCGACGATCAAGTCAGTGATCGGAATAGAGGAATAAATGTATGCAATGTAACAGTAAAGTGGTGTATTTTTCGTGTGTGCGTGTGTTTGATGATCCTTCTATTTATAGATGAGGAAACCTTGGCCTCCAAGGTTTCCTTTTTTAGGGTTTGCTCCCTCTTCAAGTTACGTGTTTGGGCCTGTATTGCCCTGGGCTCGCCCTACTTCGTTTTAGTATTGGGCTGTCGAGTTAAGGTATTTTTATATGGTCTCCGAGGTTGTACGGTCCAACGACCTCGCCTATATCTTTCGAGCTGAGCCATCATGGGCTCCTCATTATGGGCTGATCATAATGGGCCTACGTTTATTCGGTATTGCCAAGTTGGCCCGTATCAACTACTCCCCCCTACTCCGAAGTCTAGAAGTCGTGATTAGACTAGGAGTATTATTCACGTGTTGTCTTTTCACCTTACATCTTACATCGTTTTTTCTCTAGTTGTATGACTCATGCGTTTATCTCGGCGTATTGGCTTGAATGTCTCTAGCGATTTACATACTCGATTTAATAGGCTATTCTTGCCTATTATAACAACTCATTTTTGTTTCGATTCAACAACTCATTTTGTGCGATTTAATGCCTCGTTTTTGCGCGATTTAACGCCTCATTTTTCAACGCGATTTAACGCCTCATATTTCAACGCGATTTAACGCCTCATTTTTTACGCGATTTAACGCCTCAGTGTAATACGCGATTTAACGCCTCATATTTCAACGCGATTTAACGCCTCATGAAACACGCGATTTAACGCCACAATGTAACCCGCGATTTAACGCCACAATGAAACACGCGATTTAACGCCACAATGTAACCCGCGATTTAACGCCACAATGAAACACGCGATTTAACGCCACAATGTAATACCTTCAAGAAAGGTGATTGAGAGACTTACCTCGACGGGCATTACGTCGGCGAGATTCGATTAGAGAACACCGAGATGGTAACGTTCGAGACGGCGTAATCTGGCTCGGGATTTTCTTCCTCGGCTTCGCGAATTGAATTTTTCATGCTTTGAAGTTTAGTCAACAGCTGTTTGAAATAAACCTGGTCCTTTGTAGCATTATCTTCGTACGAAGAATCGTCGTAGAAGCCCAAAACTTTCAATAATCGAAAAATTCTTGCCCTCAGATAACTAGTTTGATCTGACAAAGAATTGAGCTCAAGTTGTTGCTCGGAACTTTTCTTCTCCAACTGCAAAATCTTCATTTCCGACGAAAACGATTCATGTAGAAGTTTCTAATTCTTTACAAGCATGGAATCACTACTTTCCTCCAACAGTCGAGCAGTACTGCGTAAGATGATTATCTCGATTTCCAAGCTAAGAACGACATCTTTCAGGGCTAAATTTTCCGCCTTTTGCAACTCAGGCTTTCCAATCAATACACTCGTTTCCTTTTCGAGGCTAATATTGACCTCATTTTGTCGGTTCAGATATGCGAGGAGTAATTTCACTTCTTCGATCTCTCTCCTGGAACTTCTCAAGACTTCAGATACATTAGCAGATGATAAAAATTCAAGAATTGCATCCTCGTTATACCGATCTGACTCGTATTTCTCATCTTTCGGATCCGAAAACTTCTTCAACAAATACGTATTTTCTTGATTCACTTTCGAGTAAACTGCCTGTAATGCATTATACGTCTTCTGCAAATCAGCTTGTTTGACACAAAGACTCCCGAATTCAGCCTCGAGTACAACAGCTTCTTCACGACCTTTACTCATATCCGGCTTCAATTTCCCATTTATTTTCACAAATTCATTTTTTTTTTTTTTTTTTTTTTTGTGTGTGTGTTCGACAGCACTAAGCTTCTCAGCCATGAGTTTTGACTCTTGCTCCAAGTGTATTTTCTGCGTCTCGATTTCGACGCCTTTTGACTCCAACTATTCAAGAAGAGTTAAAAGAACCGAGTTTTTAACCAAGAGCTCTTGCTTTTCATCCTCGTATTCCGAAAGAGAACATTTCGTATCTTCAATACTTTCAAGAATGCAATGCAAGAAAGTTTGTTCGTTTTCGACAACCTTTTCCTCAGGAGCAATTCCCAATCTCAGCCTCTCGATTTCATCCAATAGGAGCTCAGATTCAACTTGCTGCTCAAGACTTTCACCCTCCAGTTCGGATGTCAATTTCTCCGCCAATTTCGATGCCTCGACGTGCTTTTGACACTCAATAATGAGAGTGTAGTTCTTCTCTTCCATATCTTTTATAAATTTATGCAAGATGGATATTTCGAACTGCGCTTTCAAAGCTTTATCGAGTTCTTGCTCTGTTTCCTTTTTCTTACACGTGTTCTCTTCTTTAAGGAGATTGATTTGATTTTCGAGCCCGGTCAATCGGGCTTTGCTCAAAGTCCGAGAGCTTGTCCGTTCTTGATTTTCCTCGTCCAACGAAACCTTGAACTTTTCGACTTGATCGTGCATGGCTTCTTTCTCTTTCTCTAAATCAGTGTATTTTTCTTCCAACCCCATAATTTTTTTCTCCAAAATCTGCAGCCTTCTCTCCACATTTTCCAACTTCGAAACTAAACTGCCCCTTTCGGTCAAAAGACACGATCTTTCGTTCTTGAGCAATTCGCGAATCTCTTCTAACCCTTTCGATTTTTTCCTCAAACCTTCGAGCTCGATTTTGGCGGTGGATAGTGAATTCTCCAAAACGGCGTTTCTTCCCACCAAACTCTGCATATTCTCGGTCATGGCTTGCAATTGAGACACAATTGAAGCTTTCACAGCGACTAGAGCAGTTTTTTTTTCTCCGTAAATAGATTGGCCCGATTCCAACAATGCGTCTTCAATATTCTCTAGCTTCTGCGACATGATTGCTTTCTCATTTCTGCCGTTTTCGCATAGTTGCCTCAGCTTCGAATTCTCCTCGTGCAAGCACGTAATCGAAATCAACACATACGTGGGGTCGAGACCTGCTTCTTCCACTTGCTCCACTAGATCCCGATAGTGCCTATTCCACCCTTCGATTTCTTCTTTCAAATTCGAAATTTCCCTTTGAAGAGAAATAGTTATCCCAATGTGGTGCGAAATTTTCCTTTTCGAGCATTTCCTTAATCTCCCTCAAACTAAAGGTTTCATTCTGCATACTCTCCATAGAAGAGTTCGTTTGGCTCAAACTATCGTTTTCATCTCTAACCCTTTCGAATCTCTTCTTCCAAGCAATTTTTGCTAGCTTCAGTTTCTTCCAGCTTTTGAACTACATTTTTGAGCTCAAGCGTCAGAGCCATTTGATCATCTCGAGATTTAGAGTGCGAATTTTGCAGAGTCTCGAGAGTGGCTTCGACTTTTTCGTGACGTAAATGCCCGTCTTTTAAACGCACTTCAAGACTCTCCAATTCGCCCTGCTTTATTGAGGGTTCTTGATCTTTCGCAGCAATCTTTTTCACAAGATTATCCGCTTCGGCTCGCAGTAATTGATTCGACTTCTCGAACAGAGCACACTTCTCTTCGGTAGTCTTGAGCTTCGTATTTCCAATCGAGACTTTATCATTCAAGCTTGATATATCGTTCTCAAGCTTGGATATAATTTCCAGGCAGCACTGTACGTAGGGCCGAAGCTTCTTTCTCGTCGTTCAGATCAGCGAACGCCCTTTTCAGTTCAGAAACTTCAGCTTCAACTCTCTTGGCTCGTTTCTTAAGAAGGCTGGCCTCATTTTCGATTATAGAGATTTTGTTCTCCAACTCCGATATTTTTTCGGGGCACTGTTTGTACTGTTGCATCACCGTCCCCTTTTCGAGCTCTAATCCCGACATTTTATCTTTTAGGGTTCGAGATTCACTTTCTGCTTCAAACGCTTTTTCGTCGAGCCTCTTCGTATCTTCTTGGAATTTCGAAACCATAGCCTCGAGATCAGATATCCTCTCCAAATACTCTTTCTGTTTGACCAGTCCAGCATTCTTTTCAACCTCTAATCGAATCAGAGCTTCCTTCAAAGCTTGGTCTTCGATTTCAGCTCTTCCCGATTTTTCTTGTGCCTCATTCATCTCTCCCTCGATTTTACAAAGCTTTACCAGACATTGTTATCTTTCTTCGTAACTTTATGCTCGAGATGGCGAGCGAGGTTCATATGACCAGTGCGAGGTAGAAGAGAACTACAAGCCTTAAAGAATTCCACTTCGAGATAAGAAACGAGCTCAGCGGCAAACGAGATCGTTGACTACTCACTTTTGTGTTCGAGATATAACTCTGGCATTTTAAGAGCTTTAAGAAATATTTCCCGGAGTTTGAGATGTACGAGGCGAATTCGAGCTTCAAGAAGGGTGAACTCTGATAAATTCAAATCTTGGAGAACTTTTAACAACCATAAGTTGCTCAAGGAGATTGGCTCTGTAAATGTGGGTTCCTCGACAAGACATTTGTACGTAATATATTGGTCCTCCAAGCAATAAACACGAGCCCCAAGAATCACGAGCTCTTGGAGAGGTTTGTCCCATCATTGAGCTCGCAACTTCGAAATATTCATCTCGTGGTAACGAAACTCTTAAATTCTTCTTATTTTCTATCAATCCCATTATAGATTTCGCGTTGACAAAAATGGGCTGAAGTTGCTCTCGGGTCTGGAGGAGATGTAACTTGCATTTTTTCTGGGCATATATCGATAATCTACCACCCCTCCGAGTTATATCTTCGTTGGGTGACTTTTCAATGTGCAAGGGAATTTTCCTGTGGAACACCGTGCGAGTCAATTTCAATTGACAATTTTGTGCTTGTAAGCTCCGAACTAACAAGCGACACAAGATCCCGGGAAAATTATTATTCCACACCTCTTTTCATAAACTGTTGAACGCCGTCCTATGAAAATTAAATCATTGATCCAATTGTTTAGTGTCTTTATGCCGTGGTTGAGTCGTCCCGTCTCGTCTCGTACTGAACCGCATCGAACTCATGCAAGATCGAGCTCCAATATAAGCTTATCTCATGTTTCCACAAGTATTACTGTAATGTTTCCCACTTGTAATAAGTTTTCACGGGCCAGAACGACCTTTGCCCAAACATCTTTTTCGGAGATTAGATTTCCTCACCGTCTCGATAATTGGGGAGAAGCCTCATTCAAGAATCATTTCGATTTCCTCTTGCCACCCAATTTGATTTTTAATATCATACCTCGTCGATAGTTTTTTTTTTTTTTTTCAAATGCTAATGTGTTGTTATTCCCATCTCTCAGTAAAAGATTATACTCGGTAATAGCTCGTCCCGGCTTCTCACAGTACAACTCGACTGCCATAGTCTTATAAATTCAAAATATCCATCAATTGGTCAATGAGCTCTGTCTTTATTTCACTCTTTTCAGCAAACTTCGGTTTGATTCTATCCCGCAGGGTCACCTGTTGCGTGCGGTCTGACCAAGATATGACTTATAAAACGAAGCCGCGGTTATGCTTTCATAGAATGTGCTAGCAAAAGCCTGTTGTTCTCCTGGAGCTTCGATCAAACAATTTATGTGCACCATCATGACTTCCATCTTTCACTTCGGTCTGGCCAACCACAAATTGTCGGTATCTAGCATTCTTCACCAATCGTTTAGAATTGCTTCATAAAACTGAAAATCCACTGTCAACAAAACTAAGAACTCGTGGTGCTCATGATCCTGCCACAAATGCGACATGGGTCGGCATACTCCTCCCTTTTCGTTTGTTCTCCCTTTTTTTTTTTTTACAAATATCCGGCTCTTGGAGGTTCCAACCCATAACACAGGTGCGAGCTGCTAGAACCCGGGCGAAGAGAACCCCCTTGATATTGATTTCTACACAATTCGTTGCTTTGAAAGAGAACCGTCATGCTAAAGCTTTAGCCGTAGTTCATATACATATGCGCGTTTTCAATAGGCATAAAAAATCACGAGCTCCTCTTTCCAACAACTTCAAGATAAACACGGAGCTCGATTCGAGCCTTGGAAGCTGACCAGGTCATAAAATCTCTGGTGCAACTGCAGTTCGATGGGCGAAATGCGAAGTGCACTGTTCAGCACGGAGTGTGCTCTTTGTGGCCTTATATCGAACAACTTGCGGGTGGGTCTATAGATTTGGGAAAAATCATACGAGGGGACAAGGGTACTTCGAAATTTTCCCCTTCTCTTCCCGATTCTTCTCGATCTCAATCTTTTCACATGTGGTGGTTTTTCGAGATTCGATCTCGACAGACGAGGTCGACGTCAGCGAGACATGGGTAGGCGAGACTTTGCTTGGCCGACGGGATCAACGAGACTTAAGTCGGCGGACATGGATCGACGAGCACTGAGACGGGGTTGAATCCAGGTTCCGAGGAAGTCAGCTTTTAGAAATCGGAGCAGAGCATCGAGCTTAGCCAAATCGTATAGAGAAAACCAAGCTTCCAAAATAACCATTTTGAAGGGTAGATACGATCTCGAGACTCGTGTGATTTTGGCTTTGGCATGATTCAGAACCACTTCACCTTAATTATAACTTTCGTTCTCCACTATTTTGCCAACTTAAAGTTGAAGTAACTTGCTCGGTGTTTGACAAGCTTCAACAAATGTCCCTCTGTAGTTTCTTGGCCTCTTTTCCCGCCCTGATTCGTCAAGCACTCGATTCAGAATTTGGACTCTGTTTCATGTTGTTTACCTCGTGAATCTGCTCTTATTTATTTTTCTCTCTAGATTTTGATCGATTCATCAGATCTGGATTCTCCTCTTTGCAATTTATCGATTCATCAGATTTAGATTCGAAACACAAGATTTGAGCCCCTTTCTTGGTTTCCGTTAAAAAACTTCCCAAGAAATACAGTGAACCGTTCTTCCTCGATCTTGCAGCTCATTATCTTCAACCCCATGGAGAAGATTCCAAAATTCAAATCATTATCGTCTTAGCTTGATTTCTGTTTCCCACAGACGGCGCCACTTGATTTGGTCCGTGGGGCTTCGTCTTCCTCGAGTCACCTTCCGTGCTTACTCCGATGATGGTACCTGCAACGCCGGGAGGGGTTCCCGGCGGGAGAGCTCCGACGATCAAGTCAGTGATCGGAATAGAGGAATAAATGTATGCAATGTAACAGTAAAGTGGTGTATTTTTCGTGTGTGCGTGTGTTTGATGATCCTTCTATTTATAGATGAGGAAACCTTGGCCTCCAAGGTTTCCTTTTTTAGGGTTTGCTCCCTCTTCAAGTTACGTGTTTGGGCCTGTATTGCCCTGGGCTCGCCCTACTTCGTTTTAGTATTGGGCTGTCGAGTTAAGGTATTTTTATATGGTCTCCGAGGTTGTACGGTCCAACGACCTCGCCTATATCTTTCGAGCTGAGCCATCATGGGCTCCTCATTATGGGCTGATCATAATGGGCCTACGTTTATTCGGTATTGCCAAGTTGGCCCGTATCAACATGTAAGGCGACGAACGATGAAAAAAGTCACCACAATCAAAAGTGAGTTAGAGTTTTCAAATCTCAGCTTATAAAATCTGACGGCCAAGATTTGACTGTTTGAAGTAAACGGTCAAAATCAGTCAAAACCACTTGAACCGGGCTTAAATTGGCTAATGGGCCGATTCTAAGAATTATGCTGCTTAATTATTGGGGTTATTGGGCCACAAACACTAACAAAATTGACTTGCATTTTGACGGATGTCTGAATGTGGATTGGTTTGTGATTATATTGTGATTTCTGAAAACAGTGACGTGTCAATTTCGCACTTTGTGTGGTCAATTTTGTGTAACAACATGGGCTTTCTTCAAACATTACATGGCCCAATCTAATCTTACCCGTGGCTTTCTAAACTTTCCCGCCACTTTCAGTTTCCCCAATAATAAATAATAAATAGCTCGCATGGGTGTAGCTCAACTGGTTCCGGAGGTGGTAAGTTGGTGCAATGTCCTATGATCGAATTCAATGAGGGTTGGTTCCTTGTGGGCACCAGGTCCGGGTCCGCTACTTTAACGGACCGTTGAGTTACCATGATTTACATTCCTCCATCAATCTTTGTCGGGCCAAGGGATTTCGCCTTTTTTGTGCAATAATAATAATAAATAATAATTAAATAATACATAAATTATTTGTCACTTTGGATTACATGCGTGTATTAAAAAATGTAGTAAATATACATAAAATTTAGAGAGAGAAAAATAAAGAGGAATAAGATCTAATTATTTCCATGTCAATTAAATCACTGTAATTCTAAAATGACTTGGGAAAAAAAAATAGTTTTCCAAAGTCACAAATCATATAATGCATATGATTTATGGAATATCCATTAGGTGGGCCCCAAATACCCAAAAAATAAAATAAAAAAGAAAATAGAAATTGTGGGGGTGTGGAATAACAGACAATATAATGTTGTGGTGATGGTGAAATGGGAAAAATATGTGGAGGAGTGTTCATGGTTTAGGGGAATGTATGTATCATGTTATATATATGACTAGTCATTCTCTCGTGGAATATATATACAGTTGTCAATTTAATTAATGTTGCTTCTTCCAAATCAACCATACGCGTGTCATGTATGTGCGTGTAATTGTATTTACGGTTAACAATCATCAGATCATATATAAATTACTCAGTGTAGCATCGAATTTCCGGTTTGATACACCACTTTATATAATCAGTAATCACACTTGATATGAATATATGCATGTATGGAAGGACAATGAATTAAGTTGATAATAAAGTCCTAAAATGTAGCTAATAATATTATTAGCTAATTTCTATATTAGAAGACTCTTATAAAATGTGACTTTACTAATCTATTTATTAGGGGGAAAAAAGGTATGCTTATATTACACGCAATTTACATGATACGTGGATATCTATTATAGAAATTGAATTGATATTGACGTGAGCATTTATAAAGTTGGATTACATTTTCTTGAAAAAGATTGGAGTAATAATTTAAATAATTTTATAGAGTCAACTTGTTGAGTTGATGCTCCTCACTGTACAACTGTCCCTTGTAATAGTAAACATGGCATCACAACTTACAATAATAACACAAACTTTATTTCTTTCTGGCATTATAACAAAAGGGGCCATAATTATTGATAGAAGAAAAAACATATACCCACAATTAATATAAGTTCTTGATTCTTCAAGATGGCTAGGGGCCAAAAAACAAAAGCACACCATTTTTTTGTTATACTAATATATATATATATATATATATATATATATATATATATATATATATATATATATATCTCTATATATCTATATCTATATATCTATATATATATATTTATATATATATATATATATA